TCTGGATTTCTATAAATTCCTGCAGATAGATTTGGGGATAATGATGCATATAGAAAGCTTTGGTCATCTTGTTTTTTTGGAGCAAGGCATGGAGTATATTTAGCAGGTGACTAAAGTTTTTGGCAGACCCACCAATATTAACAGTTCCAAAAAAAGGAGGCCGTGCCAGTGGGCATATCGTGTGTGGTTTCTCTGAACATTTGCTGGACCATTTGCTTGGGTTTTCTTGGTGTTTGTTGTGCCAGGTTGCTGGGTGCTCCAGAAAGCCAAAGCCGAGCGCAGTGTTAGATTGCAGTTACAGTTGCAAGAATATTCAGAGGAACTCCGTATCCTGTGGACACTGGCGTGAGCACATCTGCTGGTGACAAACACTCTCATCTTCCCTTAGTCTTTGAGATCCAGACAAGTAGCTTTTTCCAGTCCTTCTCGCCCTCCAGATCTCTAGACTCATCTCTCCTTGTTAGAACAAAAAATATCAAATTTTAGTCTTCAGTTTTAATGTCAGAGGTCTCTATAGTCCTAAACCAGGAATTACTCGGATCAAAATGCTTTTTTTGCTGCTTTTTATTTGGATCCTCTGGTAGCTTAGCTTTTTAAACAGGAAAATCTGTTTCATAATTAATTATATTGTAATTTTTATTTTTTTCTTTGGTCTCTTGTGCTTTTCCTCTGTTTCAAGTACCTGAGTGGCTTCTCTATGCTGTCAGTTATTATTATGTAGATCAGCATCCTCAGATTAAGTCGCCTTGCTTTTTCCTCTTTTTGCGTATTGTGCCTGTTATACGGGGAATGTAGTCAGGCAGGCCAGACAGTCCATCGGACCATTAAAATTCTTCAGAAAACAGAGTTCATGTTATAATTACCTGTTCTTTAAGTTTCCATGTCTGCCAAGCAAGTGGAAAGCCTTATTTGAACAGATGTTTCTATATAATTAGTATTAGATTATCTAAAACACCTTTGTCGTTCTACAGACATCTTCCTGTTTATATTTATTCATTTCTTTCTAAACTAGGTGGAGTCCCAGTGAACCTTCCCAAAGCTACGCTGTCTTGTGAAGGTGCTGGCTCTATGATTAATATTTTACAAAGAGGTTCATTTAGAACTGTGGTTTGTTGCCTAGGTTTCTTGCTTGGCTCAAGCTTTTGTTTGTGGCTGCATCAAGATCAGGTAGCAGAGAGTGTGGTCTTTGTGTAGAGCAGCCCCAAAAGAGATGGGAAGAGCCATGTTCCTGGAGTTACTGAGGAGTATCCAAAGGAGTATCCAGCCGCATGGTCACTGAGAAGTGCGGAAGGCAGCCAGCCCACCCGGCTCGTCCTCTCTGGGGGTCCGGGGTCACTCGTCTCTTCGGGCTCAGGAGTTCTGCTTAGAAGGGAAAGAATAGGAAAATATTGTAGTCCGTGGGAACAAGATTCCAAAAAAAGGAAGAGGCACAGACTTCTCTCTTGGGGTGTGAATTAGTCCTTAAGTTGCTCTTGCTGTTATCACCATTTTTGTTTCTTTAACCCCTTCAGAACCATTCTGAGGTGGGAGGGGTGGCAGGGAGGCAAAGAGCAGTGAAATAGCTCTGTGTCCCCAGTGCACAAGCTGGGGTGAAGGAGATTTGAGAGTCCTCCCAGAGCAGCTGATAGTCATTACAGGACAAACTTACCTGCAGGCAACAGTTTGCCTTTGAAGCCTATAATGACTTGAACGTTATAGCACGCTGAGAATAGTGTTATTTCATTTATGCTACCCTTGCAAATCAAGTAACATATCCCTTGTTCAAAACAAACACACCTAAGATGTGTCTGCCGTGATGTTTTAGTCTTACATGACTGAAATGTGTTTTTGAGATGAATTTTCCCCTGCCCTCTTAGCGCTGTAATTGCAGCAGCCATCCTACATGGATTTGCCTTCTGAACACCCTCTCTGCATGCCTTGCTGTGGGGTGAGGGAATTATTTTCACCATTCCAGAGTCCATTCCCTTCTAGCTGCAGTGGACACCCCTGTGGGAACTGATATGACAGGTGTTGAGCTTAGATCAAATATAGATCAGAGGCTTTATGTGGAAAAAGTGAAGATTAATCCTGAGCTTTCCATCTAGGAAAACATTGTAGCCATGCTGAGATTGGGATTAAAATGGCTAAAGATCATCATGAGGGGTTGACTTTTATCTCATTAAAGTCCTCCTTTGTTTCTGACACCAGCTGAAAGGCAGTGAATATCCCCTGGCAGAAAGTGTTGGAAACAATAAAACTGCACAGCAGGCCGGGAGCCAGGAGCTCCTGGGTCCTAGTCCTTTCTGCCTTGCTATGTGACCTTGGGTAAGGCATTTCATTTCTCTCTACTTCCCTATCACGTCAACTAAAGTTAACAATTGTCTATTGTCTCAAATCAAAGGATTTTCAAGCTAAGTAACTGTTAATTTTAGAGCACTGTGGAAATTAAAAGCACTGGTAAAATTAAAAGCTAAAGTTTGATTCCTTGCACTGGAATAGTATGCCAGGAATTAAAAAGCAGTTCTCACTGAGTTTGACAAGTGCTTGAGGCCTGACAAGGAGGTGATGGCGGGGTCTCCCTTTGACCCCAAGCTGCACGGGGTGCAGAGCCCATCAGCTCACCAGGGTGCCCACCCAGCCCTGCACTCGGGCGCTGCACAGGACGTGCCCCGGGCTGTGGGACCGGCCGTTCCATTGGCGCCGGCTGCATGGCTCCATTTCAAGGGCGTTCAAGGAGGGAGTTGCCCATGAAAGACTTTCTTCTAGTGCTCATTCTTGCATGGTGGTTTGGTACTTTGTAATTAACGTGCATATGCTCTAAGAATTATTTCTTTTCTGTGTGTTCTCTCTTTAGCTTTTTAGTATTGCATGGCACTTTATTTCGGAGGACGTAGACAGGAAAATACCTAAACACACATCATGAAAAAAACAGTTTGATTAATGGTGCTTGATGGGTAGCAAATGCGCTGTGATTTCTGACAGAACAAATCAGCAGAGCATTGTCTTAACATATGGCACAGGTTGAGTAAATTGGGAGTCTGCACGAACTGGCAGGCTGGTGAAGTACAAATAATCCCAATTAAATATGCTTAATAGCTGTCTTTATGTCTTCCATTATGTGTGATCCTCTTGTCAGACCTGTCATATGGTGACTAAAAGCACATGGGTATTGTACCAAAACTGCTGTTTGCCGCAGGAAGAGGTGTTTCCTCCCAGCACCAGGCAGTCTGTGCCAGTGAGCAGTAGCACCTTTATCACTCTTGCTGCGACTCTGCCCAGTCCTGTGCTGACCACAGGTGCAGTCCTGCTGTTGCCTTAGTTTGGGCATTGCAAAAAACTGCTGAGTAATTTGGAGCACTTGCTTTGTTGTAAAATTTCATTGTAACAGTAGGAAAAACCTTTCAGACTGAATAAAACTGCAGAACATAACAGAAGACTTTAAGTCTCCCCCTTAGGCTCTGTCAAAGTAAATCTGTAATATACATTTTGCTTCTTAAGTGTGTGCTGTGAGTATAGCTCATGCGAGTGCTGCCTACGGGAGGTGTCCACCGAGCTGCTCTGGACACTAATGTCACTGCATGCACGTTCAGACCAGGCCCTTGCTCCTGGGCAGTGGGAATTCCTGGCTGCGCCTCAGCCCCTCTGCAGGCAGGAGCTGCGCCGAGCTGGTATTTCTCTTCTGGAAACACCACATCCCAGTCCATGTGATTCCCTCTTCCCATTCATCCTCTGGCATTAGCTGCGTAGACATTAAAAGCTTTGATCTTCCCTTGAACTCCTCACAGAGACAGTTTGCAGGCGGCAGGTCTTGCGGGTTGGGAGCCCGCGGGCTAAGGAATAGGACAGCAGCGATCGCAGGTTCCTCAGACACCACAGGTGAAAGGAGCCGCCGGGTGCCAGGCGGCACCAGGACCGGCAGCACTCGGAGGCAGCGCTCACATGGCCGTGGGGAGCGGCGTGGGCCGCGCGCCCGCAGCCCGTCCCGCTGCCTCCAACACTGCGGCCTTTGTCTCCGGCCTTATCGTGCCCCCGCCGGCACAGAGGCGCTTGTGCTCCCTCTGCGCACACGGGCTTTTCTTCAGCTGCTCTTTGTCTCCGGGTGGATGGTGCCGAGCGGGTTTGTGTGGCCGAGGGGAGGAGGGGCTCCTGTTTGTGTGGGCTTTATAAACCTCGGGCATTCAAAAGAGATGCTGAGCAAACGGGGCCTCGGTGACCTTAACCCGTCAGCGCCCGGCACTACCGCCGTGGCACAACCGCCCCGAGCGTCGTCGGCTTGTGGAAAATGAAGCTGCTCACTGCGCAGGCCACGGTTGCAATGTGTGAGGCTGCTCCCCCTTTCTGTTCTTTGATTTTCTTTGCATGTTGCATGGGTGCATCAGCAAAGAGAGCCTTGAAATTTGGGGAGACTAAATTGATTCTAGGATCCCAACCCCTCCAGCTCCCCCAGCCGCCTGGTGCACCCTGTTTGTGTGGTCACACCAGGCAGGGTGTTTTCTTGGGTGTTTTCACTCCAAACCTGATTTTTTTTTTTTTTTCTCCCCCAGTTCTAGACTGCATAAATTGACCAAGTGTACATATATTAGTTTTGTGTGTGATGAAATACTCATTTCTACAATCAAAGCTAGTATCTTTTCTTAAGTTATTGAACTGTCTTGTAGAAATTAACAGGTTTATATTCTGAGTTCCACAAGGTAGCGTAAAGTTTTTTTTTTTTTTTTTTTAGTGAGATAAGTATCATGCTGGTATTGGAGCTTGCAGTTCATGTATTGCAGAATCTACACCTTATAGTGCTACACTGAGAAGCAGTTAAGCAGACCGTTGTTTCGGGGAGGTGCAGGCAGGAGGAGAGGAGGAAATACAAAGAATTCAAGCCTTGCTGAAACGTGGATCCACACTGTCAGTCATGACTGAACCTATTAAAACATTCAGGTGTTGGGAAGAGTTCTCTATCCTTTATGTCATGTAATTTATTCTTTTCATGAAAAGAAAACCTAAATTTGCTTCATCTGTTTCTCTTCAAGGAACAATTTCAACCGCAAAGCGCACGGGGATTCCAGGGCCTCGGGAAATATCATCATCCGTCTCCAGGGAGAGAGCTGTGTTACGTGGTCAAACCAACTCTAGGAAAACTCAGCCTAGCCCAACCTCTTCTGGTACACCCACTCCTACCAAGCACGTACGTCCCACTACCAAGTCCAAGCAAGAGAATGAAATTGGTGACAAAGCTGTTTTGGAGTCTCAGGTTAAAGAACTCCTGGCAGAGGCAAAGACAAAAGACTCGGAAATTACCAAACTCCGGTGTGAACTGAAGAAATGCAAAGAGAAAGGGTCACATAACCCAGAAGGTATGGGTGCGTCAGAGCAAAACTCAGAAACATTATCACCTGTTGATATAGATCCATTAATACGAACTCTTCAGGAAAAAAACAGGACTTTTCAAAAAGAGCTTGCTAGCCTGGGAGAGGAAAACCGAGCTTTGAAAGAGAAGTTGCTTTACCTGGAGAACTCTCCTCTCTCAGACACAACAACAAGCAGTGGAGGCGACAGCAGCCTCCCGACTCCAACCACCCAAGAATCTAGTTTTGGAAGCCCATCCAAAAATGCCTTGAAGGGTGAAACAGATGAGCACGTGAGACAGCATGTGAATGGGGGCACTCTGCGTAATTCAGGTTCCTCCAGCAGTGATGTAACTAAAGCTTCCTTGTCACCTGATGCATCTGATTTTGAACATATAGCAGATATACCTTCTAGGCCAACATCCTCCAATAGCAACAACTTCAAAGGTTCTAGGTGCTCCACTACAGGAAGTTCTCCAAACAATATTAGTGACCTTTCTGTGGCATCTCTTACAGAGAGAATACAAAAAATGGAGGAGAACCACCATAGCACAGCAGAAGAATTGCAAGCCACTTTGCAGGAGCTGTCAGACCAACAGCAAATGGTGCAGGAGCTGACAGCAGAAAACGAGAAGTTAGTGGAAGAAAAAGCACTCCTGGAGACTTCCTTTCGTCAACACCGAGATAGAGCAGAACAGCTGAGTCAAGAAATTGAAAAGCTAATGACTGTCCTCCAAGAGAGATCCAAGAATGAAGAAAGTAAAGCCCAAGAAGGGAAAGTGCTTGAACTGGAACAGAAATGCACAGAAGTTCTTGAAAAAGCACAGTTTGAAAGAGAGAAATTGCTCAACATCCAGCAACAGTTAACCAGCAGCCTACGGAGCTTGGAAAGGGAGCACCAAGATGCCCAGCAGATGATTAAAGGCCTGAGAGAAGAAAATGAGAAGTTGGTTAAACTTCTAGAAGTGGAACAGCAGAGCAACAACGCAGCGGCAAAAAAACTAGAGGACTGTAAGATTGCCTTAGAAGGCCTAAAAATTGAGAATGGCTCACTCAAAACTCAGTTAGAAAGCGAGAAACAAAAGGCTGCGGAGATCAGTGCAATGGGATGTACTGCTGACAGCTCTGAGGTGCAAGAGATGTTGAAAGTAGCCCATGCAGAGAAGGATCAGTTAGAAGTATCTTGTACAGAGCTTAAACAAGAATTGCTGAAGGCAAACAGTGAACTGAAGCATGTTCAGGGTCTCCTGTCTAAGGTAAAGCAAGAACAGCTGTAAAATATAACACTGTTTACTTGTTCTTCCACAGAAAAATCCCCAATGTTGGTCTTTGTTCTGAGTAATTGAAAATATCCAGAATTTCCATTGCATTAATTAGTCTTGGATGATATTTTTCGAGGAATAACTTCTAGCATGGTTGTGTTTATAAACTGAAAACTTTGCTTCCTCTAATTCCTTCTGCAAAATTTAACATTACAATGAATGGAAATGAATTCACCAAAATTGGAACAAGAGAACAGATTAATAAAAGTTCACTCTGATAGATATAGAGAGATATAGATAGAATAGATATTCGTGAAAGTCACTTTGTAATCAAGTGAGAGCAAAGCACATGAGTAGTCAGCAGCAAGTATTACATCCTGGATAAATTGTGACCACAGATTAATAAGTAGTGAAGTATCGATATCATTGAGCATGGGAACCCAAGGGCATAAGCTAATGCCCATAGAAGATGATATTTATTGGGAGCTCACTAATGCTGTAGAATCAAACCCCAAATGAGATAGTTCCAGTAAAACTAAAATACTTTTACAAAATTGGAATTTAGGATTCTGTTTTGGGGTAGGCAAAGTAATGACAAAGGAAATGAATTGTTTTAGAGCAGTTTTTCTGCTGCCTGACTTGGTTGCTTGTGGCTTTGCTCCCAGCAGTCTTGTGTATTAATGGTTCTACTTTCTGTCTAATCCGGGTGTTCAGAAGAGAGCTGTAATGTGGGGTTTCATAGAAAAAGTGTTAATATAGCACAATCCAGCAATTAAAGTCCCACTGCTGCAGTTAGTGGTAGTCGCTGCGTGCAGCATTTCCTGGATGGAGAGGGGATCATGGGATGAATTGTAAAATTGGCTTGTTGCAGAGGAAGAGAGCATTGCCAAAAAACACCTCCATGATTTGAGTAATTTAGGAAAACCAGATGTCCTTTCTGCTTGAATAGGTGACCACAGCAAATGGAGTTAGTAGAGGAAGCTCCCTAGTGCTTTGGAGTGCTTGCATAGCTGCGCTTTATGAAGACTAAATGAAAAACTGCTGAGTGCTCGGCCTCAGCAACAAACTTTTATTGCTTGTTTTTGAAACCACAGATTTCCTTTTTTTGCTCTTCCTCTCTCTTGAATTAAGCTGTTTTGCATCACTGGCTATTTGTGACACCCAAGCAAGACCACAGGCTTCTGTAAGGCTGGCCTTCAGTCAGGCTGTGCCAGTGCTGCTCACTGAATTGGCAACATACGCCTTGCTTTTCCATAACTCCTGCTTGCTCCGAGATCTCCTCCAGCCCTGGGAGCATTGATTGCTGGGCCTGAGCCAGCAAACTGCAGAGCACCATATTCCCCTTCAGTAATTCCAGATGTCCTATATTCAGAAAATACTCGTCTGCAGTAGCTAGTTCTACCACATATGTTTTGAGAATCCTTTGGAAATGTGTGTGGTAAAAGCAGCAAAATTGTTAATGTGGACAAATTGATCATCTTTGGCCCTAAGGCAGTGATATAATTCTCAAACTGTGGTTCAAGGATGGATTTGGAGCCTTTGAGGAATATCGTTCCTCTGTTCATCTCCTGCAGAGGCTGTTTTGGTATTAGGAACTTTATAAAGGAGGCCTTCATTTCCTTTCCAACATCTTGTACTATCTTTATGGCCAGAAAAGAATACTGACATTCGTAGCTCCTGCATGTTTCCTGAAACTGTTGTTAGCACTGAAACTCCCTGGAGCACAGGATCAGTTCTTAAGACCATGGGATGCCCAGTAAAATCTCTAATGGGTGATGCCTGTTAAGAACCGAAGGCAGATTTGCTGCTTTCTTTCCTCCCTTCCAGGCTGAGAATGAGTGTGGTCAACTGAAGGACATGTGTGACCGGCAGGCTGAACAACTGAGCAGAACTAGCCAGAAGTTGCAGGAAAAAACATCAGAGAATGAAGCAGATATCAAAAATCTGAAGGAGACGATTTTTGAGTTGGAAGACCAGGTGGAACAGCATCGTGCTATAAAACTGCACAATAACCAGCTCATCAGTGACCTAGAGAGTAAGTGGAATTGAAAAAAAAAAATTGAACTTTTCTGGAAGCTCAGCTATGGCTGCAACAGGGAGGAAAAGGCATGTCTTGGGATGTGTGGAAAGGGCCTTACTTCGGAATTACTCCTATCTTGGCCAGTCCTTTCTGTTCATGTGCATAAATCACTATTAGAGCAGTTAGTGCTGTAGAAATAATGCTAGAAACAGTCTCCAAGTCTCATTTTTAGTGAAAGATGTATCACCCATTCTGGAAAGTGCAATTATTGCCTTTGTCAAGAGCTTTTGGAGGAAAAGCACTAGTAAGAACTGGAAATGTGGGTCTGCTTTTGTTAGTGGAAGAGGAGCTGCCATCTGGTGGAATGAGCTGCACATTTTGCTTATCGCTGCTGCATGCAGCACTCCACGGCAATGTGTACTGCTTGTGTGATCCTGCACATGTGATCCTGTGAAGTGTGAATTTTAAGGATGTTTTGAGTAATAAATTAATGAATGAATGGTGATTCATTCAATTCTTGATTCATTGACAGAGTATCTTAAATTCAATTTAATCTGTCGGTGTCATTACTAGACGCCAAACCAAGTAGGTGCTTTTCCTTCATATTTTCACTTTGCAGTCTTGCTCCTATGTGTTTAATACTCTCTTCCCTTTTTGACTGTTCCCAGGTAGAGCAATGAAGCTGGAAGAACAAAAACAAGATACAGAAAGGCAGCTAAAGGCTCTGACTAAGCAAATGAAGGTAAGTCTCTGACTCCATGACAAAGCTATACTTTTATTGGACTTGAGAGAAGAGCTATATTTTTCTAGCACAACGGTAAAGAGTGCTTTCTGCATCTTTTTATTCTTTGTTCTCTTCATTCACTTGTAACTGATACTTTGCCTGAAGAGAAAATAGTACATCCTTTGAAAATTACTTTTGCTTTTTTCCCTGTGAATTTCTGCTACTTTTGAAAGGCCGTAGCTGCTTTATGAAACATTAAGAGCAATGAGCTCTTTCCTCTTTTCAGTGACAGTGTTTCCAATGGTATCACAAGTCTGAATGTGCTCATTCGGGTGTAGGAGGAATGCTGATTGTGCTTTTTGTATTGCAGGATAGTTGAGAGGGTTGCTTAGCATCAGTTTCTTGCTTGGCAATCTTGTCAAAACTGTATGAAGGGGCAAGTATCTAGCTTGGCCTCAGCCTAACCATGAATTTTGGTTCACTCTTTGGCTCTTGTGAAGTCTGAAAGGGTGATCAATAACTGGTAACACGCTCAGCTCCAGTGAGAGTGTTTAACAGCAAGCACCTTTGGGTTCTTATTGCTCTTTCTAGGAAGACACAGAAGAGTGGAGACGTTTCCAAGCTGATCTGCAGACTGCAGTGGTTGTGGCCAATGATATTAAGTGTGAAGCCCAGCAGGAGCTGCGTGTGGTGAAGAGGAAACTTCAGGAAGAAGAGGAGAAGAGTGCCAGACTGCAGAAGGAACTGGACGAAGTGAAGGGCGGTAACAGGTTGGTTACTTGCAAGGACCAAGGTTTCATCCCTGTGACTGCTAACACGCACGCAGTGTTTTGTCAGTAACTACTCGTTGGCTTGAATGTGCATATTGTCTGGTTTTAACTCTTCTGACAGGCGTTGCTGTGTTTTATTCTAAGATGTTTCTGTTCTTTTTCTTTTTAGTGATCTAGTTCTGCCAAGTAGGCCATGAAAGTTCTAATCGGATATTAATTATTTAATAACAGTTGCCAATAACCCTCATAGCTTTGTTCCTTATGCTGTATTCCAATCTCTGTGCAGCTGTATTGAACCATCTGTGAAAAGTCTGTTTGGCTCTGTATTTTTAATGGGACATCCAGAAGGGAACTACTTAATCTGAAAGGAGAACAAGAACTATATAATGAGAACTAGCTGGACTTACTTATTCTGCAGATCTGATACTTGTTGATTGAATGATCAGTGCGAGTACTAGGTTTTCTCACCAGGTATGTTCTGTCAATAATCTGAAATTTACTGTGTGATTAGCCATGTTAAATGGTTTGAACATGGTCTGAGCTAAAAGTTAGTGCAGAAGTGACTTAGTAACACAGCAAACTCATCTGCAAAACATTTGCTGTAGTTGGAGGGGGGAATAGTAAATATGACACTGGAGTCTGGGATCCTGGGAGCTAAAGATGTGCCCCAGTATTGTGAGCACTGTGTGTGGGGTTTCCCTCCATGGAACCATGGTAAGAGCAAAAGTGACTGATGCAACTGAAGTTGGAAACAATACATATGCTTTTACAATTCATCTTCTGTGCGGTGCCTGAGCTTTTATGTAGCCTTTTTTATGTAGCCTGTCAAACCACTTGTCATACTAAACTATATGAAATGAAAATGAATTTATAAAGGAAGTAGCCCTCTGCTCTTTTATTGCATTGACCCAGGGTGTGCTGGGGCTGCAGAAATGAAAATTTGTACAAGGTGAATGAAGAAAGATAAAATAACACAATGAAGCTGTTTACCAAAAATACATGCCCAGTTAGCTTTGCTACTCTAGATTGTTCCAAATGATAGAACAATGACAGAAAAATGGTGAATCTTGTTATTCCCTACAGGAGGAATAACAGTCCAGCTTATGTTCCTTGTATTTTCTTACAGTTTTCCAGCCTAGAGATTCCATGGAAGCTATACAATAAATAAGAGTAAAAAGATGAGAGGGCTTTTGAGCAGAGTAATTTCCCTCTTTATTCCTTTGTTTTTTAACCTGAAGACAAATGTGTTTAATTTACTTAAACTGAATAGAAGATAATCTGTTAATTTGCAAGCTGGGATGTTTATCTTCCTTGTGTAAGGAACATGGTTTCACTTTCAGCTCTTTGACATAAAATTGCTTTTGAAGTTAGATCCCCAGAATTGTGTATACATAGCTCCAGAAGGACCTATTCTGACATGCATTTAATTAGACAGTTTGGGGATTTGTCCCTCTCCCTCTTTTGCATATGTTTGGATATATGTCTGTCTTTTTTGTTTGACTATCTGTCTAGTTTGCTTGGAATATTACATTGGATCAGAAGGCAAAAATATCATCTGCAGTGGGCAACATAGAATATTCTTCAAAGACAGGTGCTGAGCTCAAATTTTGCATCTGTCAATTTAGATACAACAGATTTGACTGTGTGTGTCACAGTGTCTTTGCAGAGACTGTTTAGAAAAAAACTCATCATTGGCATGGAGAGGATAATGAAGCCTATGTAAGTCATTGCTTAAATAACCTAGTGATCAACAGCTCAGCAATGAAATTTTAAAACTCTGCTGACCTTTTATAAAACATTCCTGGAGTTCCCAAAGCCACTGCTGAGAGCCAGTTTTACCCTCCCAGTTATTTGTGCATTCCTGAGGCCACTCTTCTCCCCAGCACCTACCTGGAGAGTCCTGGGGAGATCCTCATCGTGGCTTTAGTCAGTGTTCACAGCGCTGCTGCTCACAATCACATCCTGCCCCATGGGTGACTTGTAATGCCTGCTCAGCACCAGTGGAAATGTTTCTAGTGTGATACCTTAATACAACCTTTAAAGTATTCCTTGTATTTGCTTATGCTGAGCAGCTGTGCACTCAGCTGAATATCTGACAGTCTTTGAAAGTTTCCTTGTCCAGTTTCAAAGCTCAGATTGGAAAATATACTTTCCAATAGTTTGCTATTCAAAGATTTTTTTAGGCAAAATCTCAGCCATCTCTTGAGGGTCATTTGACTCCACCTCATAAATTGATCTTGAAGCCAATTTATCTCCTACGACATCCTGCCATTATAATGTTTGCCTGTGGCTGCCTGAGTTCCTGCCTCCAAGTTTGATTTCACCGTTACAGTCTTCTAATCAGACAAAAAGTCACTTTTGGTTCAGGAACAACCAAAGAACTTGCAGAAAATGTCCAGATGAGGTCATCAGAGTTCATCTGAATGAAGGTAAGAGCCTCCCAAAGGCATCTTTAACACAGATTAAATGTCTAATTCTATGACTAAGAGTGTTGGGGGGAGGTTGGACCAGCATCAAGAGAGAAATGGAATAAAGAGGAGAGGATTTTCATTTGTCCCAAATTAGTACTGATTGAAACAAATTGATTAACTCACATGTTTTGGACAACCTTTCATGATATTTTACATCCCAATTAATGCTACTTCTCTGCAATAAAATGAAAAAACTTAAAATACATTGTTGTGTAACTGCCTCTTCAGAGGTGATGAGTTTTGAGGTTAGGCAGTCATTATCCTTGAAGTTTTTAATGACCAGATGGTGTAAAACCCAGAATAAACTGCTCTAACCGAGTAGCTGACCCTTCGAGCAGGAGGTTGGGCTAGCTGAACTCCTGAATTGCCCTTTGATCTGGTATCCCCACCCTCAGAAAATTCACCTTGGAAATCAACTATTTTTCCTAGCTGTTTTTCTAGATATCTAAGTGGTGAAAAAGGGAGGGAGGAAAAAAAATAAAGTATTTTTGGCTCTACAATGCAAAGGAAAATTATTGCAAGAAGGACCCTGAATAAAAATGACCCTCTTTGGCTTCATACACACACTTCCAAACCTATTTTAACATTATAATATTCTGCAGCCATAAAGCTTGAAGGTCTTTCTTAGAATGTGTTTCCAAGTTCTCAGAGATTTTGCTGCCCTGTGTCTTGCTGCATATGCAGTGGGAATGCAACATTAAATGTCATGGACCAAGAACTTGGAGGGAAGGCAGTTGGGCTGGGAGTAGTGCTCGGAAGACAGAGAAATTGTATCCAAAATTAAAGGAATCATTTCCTAGAATAATGAAAAAATCTAATCAAATCTTCAAAAGGAGGATTGTAATGTAACCCACTAATTTGTTTCTGTTTTTCCTCCTAAAGTCTCAAATGCCACAGCATGGCCTGTGTTATGTGCTTTTTCTCCTGAATTAAGCCTGTACTCTACGTGTATTAAAACCTGCTGTCAGTCTGTATGTGCTGATGTGCTGCTTATTTGTGCTTGTCTTTTGCAGCTGTTCTGTCTTACAGAGGTCTGATCAGCTCATTCTGCTCACGCTTAAAACGAGCAAACTAGAATGTCAGAACAAGATCTGATGAATTCTATGAATTTTGATGAATTGCTTCTTCACTGTATTTAGTCACTCCTTAGGGTTTTTGGTATTAAATGTAATTTATTCCAACCAACTTTGGTGTCAGGACTTTGAAACAGAAACTCTGACAGAGGCAGAGAAATTCTAGTTCCCTGGGCAGGTTCATAGACCTAATTTCAATAATGCTGATTGATGAGAGGAAAGCCAGGACCACTGCCACCCTTGTCCTTGGAAATTGATTCCCTGTCTCTCCTTACATAATTTCTTCCTATCCAAACAACAGATTTTCTTGTATTTTGTATTGTTTTGCCCATGAAGCCCCAGAGTGATAAGGCATTCCTTCCAGACTGCCCTAGCACCACCAGCAGCAGTTTCCTTTTTGTCTGTAAGTAGTGATGATGGGTTGATTAGCTGTAAAATACTGAGGGCTGTACCTCAGAGTGGGCATCAGGTTGCTCCTTACAACTTCTGTTGTGTCTGTCTCTCTAGGTGCCTCATCTCTATCAGCTAACACAGCCCTGGGTGGAAGCAAAGCCAGGCTTCAGGACATGCCTTCAATTGCCGTTGAATAGGGAAGTTTCAGTTGGAGAGAGCACCTCCAGTTGATTATCGCTCTGCAAAAGTGAAGTGTGTCGCAAAGTGTGAATGCTGCTCAGGTCCATCTTCTCCCCGTGGGCAGGAGCCCGTGTCTCTGTTTCAGAAGGCTTCCCTCTTCCGAAGACTCCTTGAGGCGGAAAAAGTTCTGAATTCATTTTGAATCAACTAAGCCATGGGAAGTCATCACAGAGATTTTTGAGACTGAAATAACTGATGTTTCTTTTTGGAGTGATGGGGTATTTTCCCTGAAACAGAAATTCGGACATGTAATTTTAAGTTTAAACAAAAAGGAAACTGAATGTGTATGTCTGCTTTGTAAACTTTAATGCACATACACATATGTTCTCCATATAATGCTATATTCATAAATCTCTATGTGTGTGTCCAAATATCCATATGCATACAGGTCTGTATGTATACCTGCACACACAAACTCAAGGCATCCCTGAATTTGCAGCTGGACGAGTTGCACGTGGAAATTTGGTTGCTGGAATCCTCCAGGAAAACCGACTGTCAACCCGAGGGGGTTCATCCCGCCGCTTTCCCGGCGCTGGGATTTGCTGCTGCGCTGCCGCCGGGTGGCGTGTCCGGCCCGGCGCGCGGCAGGGAACGCGGGATGCACGAGCTCCGCGTCCTGCTCCGCTATCGGCAGAGAACATCCATCCCCATGGGAGCTTTTGTCCTGGCTCAGAGAATTGCTGGTGGAGAGTTCAGATGGAAGGGAAGTGTATATATCAAGCCCCTAATAAATATCCTCTCAGAAGGAGCAGTTCTCATATCCCAGACTCAGGTGAAATATATAATCAGGGAGAATCTCCTTGTGTTCAGCTTTGCAACTGGAGACGCCCGGAGAGAGCTTTACTTGGATGCTGAAGACAAGCTAAGAAGTTGCCATCTCCAGCAGGAGACCGTCGGGATGCATTTTAGGACTGGAACTTCCTTTCATTGCTGTGGGGTTCCCACCTTTTGCTCCTGGATGTAACGACCTAGCAGGGACCTGGTCTCGGAGCAGGCTGAGCTAGAGAGCTGTGAGAGCTGTCGTGGCTTTGACGTGACCTTCTCCTTTGTGCCATGCTACAGGAGTGTATACACATATGCACCCTTGTTTTGCCTTTCTTTTCCATGCTGGCAGCTGTTGAATGTTGATTTTTATGTTTTAAGAAATATATACTGAAGTGCCAAATAAATGTGTAAGTGTCTGGAATTGTCTGCTGCCTGCTCTCGGCCTCCCTTCTGTCCGTGCATCAGCAGCTGTGTTTCTCTTATTTGTGTCCTTTGGAGTTCAGGAGTGTTCACAACTACAATGGTAGGAACTGTGTCGAAGATGATATTGTAGAGTAATTCTGAAAATGTGGTTCTGGTGTCTTAGGGCACTTGTAGTTACGAGATCATCAGAGCAATTCAGAAATTTCTGAGCACAGGAAGGCTGCTGTTACTAAAATCCTTACTTTAAACACAGAAAGGTTTGCACGTTGTTGGTTCTCTGTTATCTGCATAATCCCAACCTTGCTGTTAAAGAAAAGGTGGGTGCGCTGATGAATGAAACTGGGCAGTGGTTGTGTGAAGAGGTTCTGCACATTTGAATTTCTTTGTGCTAAAGTGCTCTGCTTTCTCCTGGAGCTGCTCCACTTGAGCCAGCTGCACTTGCAGCTTTTAGCTCTGTTATGTGAGCCATTCATCCTTGTTTCAAGGAAAGAAGACAGCCATAGATGACAATTTTTTCTCAACTCCATCCTCTTTGTATCAGGGCCTGAGCTCTGCTAAGCTAAATTAATTCCGTAGTGTAGGAGTCATTTTTGGTTGGAAATAATGGCTTGTCATTAATTTTTCTAAGTCAAGTTCTCCAATGCTGTCCTGAATTGAATGCAAGTTGTGCTCTTCTGCTGCTTTTTGTTTTTTAAAACACACTTATGTATGCATGTATACCTTCACCTTATTGTGCAGACTTTTCTCTTAAAAAATGAGAAGTATGCACTGACTTTTGTAACTCTGCATTGCTAGGTGGCCCGCGTGTTGGTTGAAGCAAGTTAAGTCTCAGCACCATTCTGCATAGCTCTCATGCTGAGATTTGCAGTATGAGATGTCTGTATTTTCTGAAATGATTACGTTTAATCTAGAAGGTTGCTTCAAAATGCATCATGAGCCTAATACGAATACACAGACTAGCACTACAGGAAGCACCTAACAAGCCTGGAGCCGTTAGCAGCTCCAGTGCTTGAATCTCCACAATTATGTGGTACAAGACAGCAGGGCAGGTTTTGATTTCTCAGACTTTTCAGCGGTGTGGCATGGGGGCTGGCGTAGTTGCTCTGTTTCACATGTTTGCATCCTTCTGCAATCAAAGGCTGCCTGAGGTGACTAGTCTGACAGATCTGAGCCCTCTTGGAGGTAAATCCTGGCTTGTAGGTTAGTTGAGCACGGGAGCTATCGCAGTGACAGCCGCCTGTTCTTTACAGTGTGTTACCACTTGGTATAGTTTCTTCCTCTCCAAATAAAATCTAAAACAGCTTCCACTGTCCTGGGAATGTGGTGGCTTTCTGGAACACGCCTTTGGCTTGCGTGATTCTCGAGGGGTTCTACTTTGCCTACGGGCATTTATTATTCCTTTTATACTCTGATAATGTTTCAAAAATGTCATTCGTACTCTCCCTACCTAAATAGACAGAGCTCTTGCATAACGGTGAATTTAATTATTGAAAGCAAAATAGATTTTATTGAATAGGCTTAGCATCCTGGGGCGGAAATCTATTCCTCCCCCATACTTCAGTAGAAGCAGGACTCCTTTAGCTGTTATGTTTTCTTGTAAATAAAGTGCAGATGCTGTTGCCTGTTGATTTGTTGTTTATGTTTTTGAAACTATAAAGGAAAAAATGAAGGGTAGTCGTTAACATTAGTCAAGAAAACACTGGCTCCCTCAGAGCTCAGTGAATCTCATCCAGGCTGCCTGTCCTCCTCATTTGTTTAAATGGGGAATAGAAATGAAATGACTTTTTTTTTCTAGCCATCTGCCTCAGCAGGCTCCCCTGGCACACAAGGAGCGAGAATGAATTAGCAAAGAAATAGCCCATGTCTGTTTAAAGACAGCACCTCCTTAAGCCCTGCCAAAAATAGAAGCATGAGTCACTCATTCTTATTCATGGACACCCTTTAGTCCCTTGGATTTTATAGGCACAGATGCCAAAAGGAAGGAAAAAGGAGGAAAAAAAGACTCTGACTTCTATTTTTAGCTCAGTAGAAATTGTTCAGCCTTATAGGCACTTCTTTATGGGGTCCTGCAGCCCTCTTGTGAAATTATTGCTGATTTCCTGTTCACATAGCTCTTGGTGTCTACTGTGCTTGGACACAGGGGAAAGGGATGGTGCCCAGGACCTGTTGGTCATCACGCACTTCAGAAAAACGATGTAACCAAGATTCTCCTTTTAGGTGACTAGACTTTGTTATCTAATTGCAGCTTTCCTAAGCTAAAGCTAGATAATTCTGCTCAAAGTCTACCCTGTGAGCTACAAGGTAAGTACAGAACCAGCTCTATGCAAAGCCAGACAGATCCATAAAGTGTATGACTTGGAGCATCATACGGGTATGCTAGATAAGTGCATTGCTGTGGGCTTTCTTGTACAGATTTCTGCAAGTCCAGCATCTAACCTTGACTTAAATATTTTCAGTCAATGGAGTGACTTAGTGGTACTGTCAAAATGGAGGCCTTATTTCTATTTTGAATTTGTCCATCTCTCCTCTAGCCATTAAACTTTATTATTCCTCTGTATGCTTGGATGAAACATTCGTTATCAGTTTTATTTCCCTGCTTACGGCCTGTGATTGAGGATTTATTTGCTCAGCATACTTTCTTGTTGATTAGCTTCAAAAGTTGTTTTCAAAGTCTTTCATTATAAAACATATTTTCTGATTTGATTTTCATGGTTTTTCTGAACCCTGTCCAATTTATTATTTTGTTTTAACTGTAATATTTTAGCTGGTAACAATTACTGCAGTAGTGGTCATGTCAGTTAAATGACAGAGGGTAAAAATTCCCTTTGGTTATTTTCCTGTTTATACACCGAGGATTGCATTAGCCCCTTAGCCCCAGTGCTACCCTGAAAGTTTGTGTTAAGGTAATTATCCATGATTACTAACAAATCATCTTCAAAACTGCTTCTGTCCACAATAACCCTGAATCCTCTGTGAGCCCAGGGAATAGATTGGAGATGATATGATTAACAACACAGGAAAGTTTCTGAGACTCAAGGACTTCATGTTTGTCAGGCACTTCAGAAAAAGAACATGAACATTATAATAATGAGAGGGTCTGTATTATAGGCATTATTGTTGGGCTTGTTTTACTACATATTTTATATACATACCTTTAAACTTTGCTTGTGATTCCTGTTGCCACTGACTGTGATTTGGTTTCTGCATCGCAGGCTGGCAGCCGAAGAGGGAGAATCCCTAGAAGCCGACGCAGCCAACCGCTGGCACGGAGTCTGCATCAGCAGAGCGTCGCCCACGCCGGCCGAGTCGGCAGCCACCGTGAAGTCACTCATCAAGTCGTTTGACTTAGGATGCCCAGGTATTTGAACCCTGCACTTTGTAGTAAAAAAAAAAGCCACCTTTCATGTAGCAGCGAGCAGTTAATTTTTGTCATTTTGTGCCACCTCTTGCTGCTTAATGGATGTTTTCTGTCAGTGCCTGATGCGTAAATAATTTCGTGGAGTGTTACCTTGTTAGTGATTGCTGTTCCAACATGAGTGAGAAAGGTTGTGTGAAATACAAATGTTTTCATGATTTTCCCCTACAGGTGGCACTGGACAGAATATCCCAGTTCACAAGGTCCCTAGGAGCCCTCTCAGTGGCATTCCCGTGAGGACGGCCCCAGCGGCTGCTGTTTCCCCCATGCAGGTACAAGGAGCTCTTTCTGTCATTGCAGAGATGACATGGGGAGATGCAGCGTTCGCTGCAGCATGACACAGCCAACACGCACGTGTAGACAAGGGGAAGGGGAAACCCCTCTGTTTGTTTGCTGTGGAACATCAAACGTGATGGTTCTAACAAAAAGGATCAAAGTGAGTTTGCCCTTGGCTTCAAACCGAGGCTCTCAGTGGACGGATATAAACTCTTCGGAATAAAGTTTTGAGCTTTAATTGCTGTTGATCAGAAAAGTGAATGAACCAGGTACTCTTCTAAGTATGTGTGTAGATGTTCTGGATCCAACCAAAGCCTTCATGAATCTCTGCTGAGTAACCTTAGCGACTATTTGAAACAATATTCCTTTTACTGAGACTTACCTGTGTAAAAGAATAACATAGTTATCCATTAAAAAAACAGTTAGCCTCACAACTATTAAATGATGCCACAATTCAAATCAGATAAGCTTTGATATTGTTGGTATTGTTTTTTTACCTTCTCAGGAAGAGCAGATTTTTTTCCCTTATCTGTTAAGACTAAGCCCTGATGCTCAACTTTGGTTGTATGTTATGCAAAATAAAATTAGCACTGGCATACTGTTTGAATACTAGCAGGTAACGTAAATGCATTCACAAAAAAGTAGTGTCCTATCACAAGCTATAACTGGTTCATTCATTGCTATAAAAGACCATGTATATGGTGACAGTGCTGCTCATCCCTGCCTTGTCTGCAGTCATTTCTCAGGAAATTGAAGAGCTTGTTTTTTTAATCTCTCAGTGCTGCTGATTTTATTTATATACATATATGAAGCAGCTTGAGGTATTTTTCCAGTCTAAGCCAACTAGGATATTTGCTAAAAATTATGACCCACTTTGTCCTAAGTAGGTTCAAAGGGGAAGCTACTAGAGTTATATCAAAAAATTTCCCTCTGAATCTGGGGAAAAACTAGTTGAAAAGCTAAGCTTTAGGGGAGTGTCCTGAGGAAAGGGGTGACTCTGAAAGAGAACTTAGCAAGCGTGTGAGCACATTTCCTTCAGAGAATCAGCAGAGGAAGTTTAAAGAATAGGATTAAGCAGATGTCTGGGAACCTTCTATTACTGCCTGCCTGAGCGGGTATTTGCCCGCTGAAAGCTGGCACAGGGGCTGCAGAGACAAGAATTGTGCTGGTCTGATTCAGGATGCTGGGGATAGAGGCAGTGCTAGGAACAAATCTTCGTGCTTTGGGTTTATGACACTACATCATGTTTGGCAAGAAAAATCTGCAAATAAAAATGTGAATAGTTTAGGAAGCAATGTATTGCCAACTAAGAATATTTTCCCTGTCCTTTTGGTTTTTCACAACCATTTAGGCAGCTCTTTGTACAAGCTAATACCTTGCAGAAAGCTTCATGTATACCTCTGCTTTACGGTAGCAGAAGCATCTCTTCTTTTTGCTTGCCCATTTAAACATGGTGGCTAATATTTCTTCATTGTTTTTGTGCATTTGTTTAACAGAGACATTCTGTTTATAATAATGGAAAAACAGCCAGTAAAGGAGTTGCCAGACACACAGATCTTTCAGACCTTCCTCTTGCAGGTAAATTGCAGTAGATACTCAAATATTTCCTCTCTTGCCAGCAAAAGCATGTTTAAAAGCTTTATATGTTGATCCCGTCTGGGCCATTTTTCCCCTTCATGTATGGTCAAAGGAAGCATGAAAACAGTGTCTTTCAAGTCTCTATTTTAGAGGTCGTACTACTTTTATGTTGCTTCCATTCCCATCTTTATCATGGCCTTAGGGAGGGGAAAAAAAAAAAGGAAGAACGGATATGCTCTGCTTTGCCAACACAAACTCACCCTCTTTATTTATCCCAAATTATCCATGGCACCTCTCTAATCCGTGCAGTGGAACTAGAGAGGACTGGATTTTGCCCAACATGTATGTATTTGGAACAAATCCAGTGTACTGTCTTTTGGGGATTTGTTTGTTTTTAAATTAGGCTCCATTTGAAATACATCAAACATTTCAGATGCAGATGCAACTGTTTTAGGAGCAGTCAGATTTGGACTTGGTATAGTTTGTTCTAAGAGTTCTCAAGAGATGTATTTATTTTTATTTCACGCTTTGCTTTTATTCTCATGTCATATAATATTCTTTTCTACCAGTGCTGCTTTTCTCTTCTCTCTAGAGGCATTTGTTTTGATTATCTAGTCCTGAATATCACTGTTGCATTGGAATCAAAGCTAATAACAATAGATTACCCATTTTTAAGGCCAGAAAAATATTATATTCTTGTAGCCAAACCTCACTGAAACAGCAGGAAGCGTCAGAAAATCATTCATAGCTGCTTCAGTGGTAGAACGAATTTTCTACATTAGCTTGCTAGCAGAAGATAGAAATTAGAACATGGCTTCATTTTTAGACTCTTTAGGTAATCTGCTAAGATTCCACTTTCAACATTCAAAGGTGAAAAGATACAGGATCCGAACCAGCAAAGAAGGTTACAGGGTGGATGCCGGCATAAGCAAATAACAGCATCGTGCCTATGCTCCTGCCTTCTGCAAGAGTAAATGCCAAGAAAGCAGAAGTTGTCAAAGGAACAAATAGCATTTACCTATTTCTGTCTACTGGCTTCCAGAAGATGTCTTGCATGAACATGTACTCTGATCTTAAACAGTACAGAGGAGCATTTTAATCTCTACCAATCTTCTGTATAATGAAGTAGTCAGTCAACAATGTAATGTAATGCTCCTCCCTGGTAATAAATATCTGACTTCAGGCCATGGGTGTTTACTGTTATTGACCTGTGGACAACAGTTCTGTGAAAATCCACTGAAATTCATAGATATTTTATTAGCCATTGTATGGTAACAATTTATGGTCCCTTATCTAACAAGTTCCCATATCTACAGTACCTGTGTTTGATTTAGTTCCAGTAATCCTCAGCAAAGGCTTACTATAAAGTTGCAATAGCTCTGGTTCCAATCTGAATAATCCTAGAAGGCAGTTGTTGCAAGTCCTATATAAACAACACTGAATTAAAAAATATCCCCAAGGAAATTCAGAATGAAGTAGTCTCCATAATAATCTTCTGGCTGGTTCCATCTGACTAGCGTCACAGCAGGGTCCTCTGAGGTCTTTAATATGACCCAAATGTTACATTGCTGGGGAGGAGGATGGATTTGTCTGCAGAAAAGCAGCAGCCAACTTTCCCCGTGTTATTCACCATTCTAACTCAGGACTGACTTGTAAGGAGAGAGAATTTGATTTCCCTGATGTCTTTGTTCTCTCTTTGAAGATTTAGTATTAACGGAACCCAATGTTGATCATTCTGTTGATTTATTTATGTGTGTGTGTATGCAGAAACACAGGCGTTTCTACATATACATATATATATATATATGCATACACACGTATGCACGTATATATAACATAAAAATACAAATGCAGCTGCTAAGAATGTATTGCAGCTTCCCAACGTTATGTTAGATAGGATGTCAAGCATCAAGTGAGTAAATACCTTTTACTGAGCTGAGTTGTATTCAAGAGGTAAGAATCTTGTTACAATTCTACTAAGAGCAGGAAAAAAAATTATTATACCAGGGCTGGTTGGTCATCTGGTGAAGATGTTTGGGGATCAGCTTTTGAACCTTTAAGACTGTAAATTTTGGTATTTCCCCCCATTCACCTGAGGCCCCTACCCCCCAGCAGGAGTATCAATCACAGGAAACCAGGCAGTCTGTACTGTTGAAATCATCAAAGCCATTCCTTGTTATGATCACCTCTAATCTGCTCAAGGTTTCCCAGCCCCATGTGTGTTTAATGAACAAATGAGTACATTTGTTTAGAATCAAAACAACAGACTACATATTGTGTGCTGGGTGGCAGGACAGCGATTAATCAAATTCCGCAGACTGCAAACTGACATTTTTTTTTTATTCCCACAGACCTTCTGAAGGGCAGGAACGAAGAGCTGAAGCCAGACCATTACCTCTGCAAAAGCCCTTCCCTGGAGTCCCTGAGCAAACCCCCCATGGCCTTCAGCAGCAGAATGCTTGCTTCCACCCCCAGCAGCTTGAAACCCCCAAGCAAACTCAGGTACCAGCCCAGCTGGCTGGGCAGAACAGCCTGCTGGAAAGCTTGCTAGCATTACCTGACATGGGGATAACGTTGCAGTCTAGCGGAGCCCTGTTGCTAGAGGAGGCACTGCTGGGTACTCTGCCCTGTGCCTTCCTGATCAGAGAGATGTCTTCTGAGTCAGCAGGCTGCCAGAGCTATGTCAGGACAAAATATCAAAATTCATGTTATAATAACCACAATATAACCTACAGTCAGCAATTTTTCAGCTGGTTAAAGTAATAGCAGAAATGCTGGGTTAAAACATCTCATCTGGGAGACATGTTCTCAAATACCCATATACACATTTTTGTAGCCGTGTGTATGCAGTGATACCAAATGATATGTCTCATCTGGAGACAAATATCGAATATATACTCTGAAAGCTATCACAGTTAGGCTTCCATTTAGGCTCTGTGTTGCCAGCCTATTGTCATGAGGAAATGATTTGCAAACTGGGAAAGAAAAGGGAGATTCTGAGCATGTTAATCATCATCTTCCCTGTCCTTCTCTGGATTAGTGTGGAAAGAAAGGACCCGCTGGCAGCCCTGGCCCGGGAGTATGGTGGTTCGAAGAGGAATGCTCTGTTGAAGTGGTGCCAGAAGAAGACTGAGGGCTACCAGGTAATCTGGGGAATAACTCATCAGTATCCTATTTGTGTGCAGTAAGCAGTGTCACTTCGAAGAAATATTGTGTGTATTTCAATTTTCTGCTATTTACATGTTTCCTTGTACTGGACACTTCCACCATCTTTCTTTCTCAAGATTTCTTTAGCACTTTAGCATCCTCTTTAACGACTTGTCCCGTTCTTTTATGGCCATTACCGTGCTCATCCAGCCCTAGCTGGTGTTTGTATGCAATTGGGTTGGACCTTTGGCCTTACTTGTAACTGAGCTGTAGCTGGCAGTTACAGACAACAGTTCATCCTGTGATATATGCTGGGTGTGCAGGGTATTCTTGGTTTGATATAATGTTGAGATTTTTCTTTCTTAAGAATAATATTGTTTGTTACTTGGAGCAGAAGACAAAAGCATTTGTCACCCCATGATATGCACCCTGGAACAAATCTTCAGTAAAAGCAGACTCTATTTTTTAAAGTAAATAATGAAATATTTTTTCTTCACAACTGGCTCTTTATGAAATGCTGACTGTACTGGGTGGGAGTTTTGAGGAAAAAAAAAAAAAGACAGGAGCTTTCCCTTTAAATAAATGGATCTAGAGAGTCATATCAAGTATAAGAGCCATATTGCAGCACTGACATGTTCGTTTGATTCCAATTTTACACGAGGGCAGATATATGAGAAGGCTCTTGACTTTACACACACCTTAGGAGCAGTAAGGACGGGATTAGAGTTTGATCTCTGGTCATGCATTATTGCCTGAAAGGCTGTAGTGCTGTCCTCTGATGTTGCATCTCCCTCTTTCATTGGTTTTATACATATCTGTGCCTCAGCTTCTAAAATTGCCCTGGTCTTGATTTAGAAGGTGTGGAACGGAACGTTTCCATCAATCCTCAGAAAATGATTCATGAAATACACCTTTTCCAAGTCTAACTTCCATTGAGCCAGCAAACTCATATCTTGAGTAAGATTTTTTTTCCTACAGTTTTGTTTTAAATTTTACATATGATGAGCTTTTTATACTTCTTAAAACAGTCCAGCTCATCAGAATTCACTGAAGCAGCCTTTGAAAGGCAAGCTGTAGTTTCCCTCTATTACATCCAGGCAGGACTAAGTGTACAGCTTTTAGAAGTTATTATGTGGCTTTGCAAATACACAGATACACAGATTTCTGCAAGTACCAAGTGGGCACCAAGAGTGGCAAGAATTCTCTCCCTGATGCAAAGAGGAGTCTTGTTTTTCTGCGCTGAACCCAAGTAGTGGGGCCAACTGTGTATCAGATAGCAGGCCACCCAGGAGGTATGCAAGGCAGTCTGGGTCTATTTGTTTTTCTTTTTGTTATTAGCCTCTGGAGGAAAATATATCCATGGTTCAGAGGACAGTGAAAGTTCTAGCTTTTATCCGTGGCTGCAGGAGTGGTGTTGCTACTGACCTGACTGTGCAGATGGCATTTAAGAAAAAGCTTTGTCATTTTGGTTCGTTCTCTAATGAGAATCTTGTTTTGTTGCTGGCTGTCCTTAGCCATTACTCTTTCTGAAGCAGCACAAGGAGTTTTCTGCAGTTTACAGGAAAAGCAGGTATAGCACTGACAAACACTGCATGGACCAGGATAGTAAGAGTAGATTGTTCTGGGAGGCAGTGGAGGGCCTTATTGCCCAGAGTGAAAGATTTTGGAGCAGATTAGACAAGACACAGGATGTATTGACTTATGGTGAGAGTGTCATCGCTCCGTCCTCACTCTTCCATCTACAGGCATTATCTTTTGCACATTCCTCCTCAGATTCTCATTCCCATCATGCTCTTTGCAGTACATTCAGTAACTCTACTTGAACTTGCTTTTTCCTGACCCTAGCACTCTCATGATAGAGCTGATATTCAGCTCCATGGGGAGTTTTTATCATTTTTGATTACAAAGAGCTGGAATGGAGTGAAGAACGTCATCCTCCTCCCTGCCTTGGCTGCTACACTGGTGGGAATGAAGTCATGAACTTCAAGCAGAAACTTGGTGATGGGTGTGACTACTTTTATGCATGTGATACCTATGTCAGCGAGGCATGATCTGTGCAAACCTCCAGTATATCCATCACATTCTTCCTGACACAAAGCTCAGAACCATGGATAGCTTTGGATGCCACTCTTTTCAGCTCCCTGATTCTGTGATATAATGGAATGAGAGAACGAAGGACATGCTGCTTTGCTGCCTCGCTTCATTTGGTGTGCCATACTGTCCTGCCTTTAAGGTTTGGGTTAAGTCTTTCCACAGTTCATGGTTTGGGCATTTGAGGAAGAGGGAGCTGCTTTTCTGTCTGAATTATGGAGATATCTTATTTCATCAAGTATAAACAAAATGGATTAGAATAACAGATTCTCTCACTAGCAGCTACCATCCATGTCCCAGATTCACTGAGGAAAGCTGGATTAGTGACCTAGGGGAGCATCTGGGGATAAGATCTAGGGAGCAGAGCACAGGGCTCCGCTTTTTAAATGCTTTAATCCATACAAGGCTTATACTATAGATAGAAATTTACATCCTGCTAGTGGCAGATATCCTTGCATTGACAACAGTGGGAATATTCACCAGCTTTGAACTTCAGTGCCGTCCCCAGGAAGAAATCTCATAAGACATGAGAGAGACACTGGGGGTGGGCAGGTTGAGAGAAATGCAGCAGAAATGATTAGTGGCCTGGAGGGTTTGACTTATTAAAAAAAAAAATGCATGAGTTTACAGAAACTGAGGGGAAACATGAAAACATCTATGCATCTCTGATCTACTATGACACTTCAAAGATCTTTATGGAAGTGGTAATATGATATCAGAAATGAATGGCTACTAGGAGAAAAAATATGAAAGTGAGATCTCTATAGCATGATGTACTGTATGGATTACAGTTGTAATATTTCAGTGCTTGCGTGAATGTTGCCTGGTATTTTGGCCACTGCTTTTGAATAACTATGCAGAGCAGGATTTAAAAATCTCAGCTGAAAAAAGAATTATATTGAAATAAGGCTTTGGGCTCAGTGTCTTTCTGCATAACTTCCTGGAGGAAAGCCTCCAGGTGAAAAAATACTTCTTCTAATGTATATTCATCTATAAGAGCTGTGCACTTGCACATGGTCTTTCTTGCTAGACATGCATAGACTGTTCCTTCTGCCTCTCGAAAGTTGTTGACATCATGGTGTGTAATGTAGGGTGATGAGATGACCAGACTTGAGAACTGCTTTTGTGGCTCTGGATCTCAATTACCATAAGTCCTTTAGACCACAAAGTCTACTGGGAGTGAGTTATTTATGTTAAAACAGCTTTTTCTCTGTTGTCTCGTGCTTTTTTCCACCTATTTAAAAAGAAAAGTGGGTGCCTCTTTTCTAATAGGCTCTGTTCTCATGTGTCTTAACTGCTGGAAACTGCCGAGAGTCATTCGTGTTGCATTATCGCCTTCCATAATCATATCATTAGTGGTGTTATTTAAGTGCCCTGGTTCTGCTTGCTCTCTGTACAGACCATTTGTCAAGGGGCCAAAGCTCTCTAGGCTGAGTCTATTACTATCCACAATGTACTGTGAAAACACAGAACATCAAGAGGCACTTAACCCATGGTCATTAGAACGGAGGATGATGGTTTGTGCCACCCATGCCTCCTCCAGACAGAGGAGGAAAATGCTATCATGTTAATGAATATGGATTGCTTGGAAGATCTGTTTTCACATTTTTTCCAAACATTACATATCCATCTTACGGCACAGAGAAAAAGGAGAATCTGAAGCTGACTCTTTTCTCCAAGGCACCATCATGGTTAGTCTTTCTTCTATTAAAGTTTTACTTGGTTTAACAGGACCCTTCTGTGATGATGTCACTGCGTCTTCTATGAATAGTGGCAGTGACATCTTCAAGAGAAGCAGTGCTCCCAGGAAGCTCTGATACCCACCTAGGATGACTGATAAATGTCCTGTTGGTTCCTGTTCAGTGCTTCAGCTAACTATTCAAAAAGAAAGGAGGAAAAAAAAGCTACCTTAAAGTATTCCTACTACTATGGTCATGGCTCTCCAGCTTTTGGAGAGAGACATTGGAAGCAGGTTGCTTCCAAGCATAGCCTGAAATGCATTAAGTGTACTTCTGGATTCTACTAATGGAAGCATGAAGCTGGTATGCGAGACCATGCCAGGGCAGTGTCTCTGCACTCTACCACATTTATATGTAGCAAGAATGCAGTAGCTTGGGGAGCAAAATAAAGACTGTGTTGGTATCTGCTGTTAGTCAAATAATTATAGAAGAGACTGGTTGACTAGTGGTTTTGCAGTGGATATTTTTACCCTTTTAAATCCAATTCAAACTCAGACTAATACCAGCTTTTTGTTTATGAATTTGTGGCTTTCTTTTTCTCATAGGAATTCGTATCTCCTTTCTTTTTTTGTACTAACTAGTATTTCCTCCATATCCTCGCTGTTCTCATGCTCTATTTTCCTGCCGCTTCCCATATCCCCAGTGGTTTTTTGACTGGGTTGCTGACCAGATGAGATCCGGCACACACAAAATTTGGCTCAGGATATACAGATGCAGATAGACAGGTGAGAAGATAGCACATTCCCTGTGGTGAGATGCTCATAGAGCCCGTGTTCCTCACTGGAGAGGTCGGCAGCTTCTTGGGCCAGGATGCCTGTGGCAGAAGGGAGACCTTTCCGTCCACAGAAGAGAGTGACTCTGCCATAAACTCAGCGTGAGAATGAACGGATGGCTGCGTACCCAAGGTTAGAAACTGTTGGCCAGAGCCTCAAGAGTAAGGAGGAAGGAAAAAGCTCTGTCTAGTATTTACCAAGACTTTCAATGCAGCAGCTTTTAATGCAGCAGAGTTCTTTGCTGGTGGATTTACTGCAAAGTCCTACACTCTAGCATGTCTGTTCTGGTAAGAAGGTGCTAGTGCTTATTAATATCACTGCATCTGCATTAGCTGTAGCATTATGACAGTTAGAAGTGGGATATTTGTGCAATGCTTGTTTTCTCAGGAAGTT